CATGGCGGACAGATGGGTGTGCGCGGGTGTGCGGGGGCTGCGTGATTTCACGAGCTGGGCCTCTAATATGAAAAATATAATCTCTTGGCAATGTGTTGAAAACCAAGGCTGGAAGAAAGCACACCACAATGATGGGTTATGGGTTGTATATTTTCCCTTTCCAATGGAAAAGATAAATAAATGTCATCTTAAAGAAAAGGGTCTCTCTGGGAAGGTCCTGTGAGGACTGGCCTCTATTAGACTGGGATGGTGGAGGTGTACTCCCAGGTGCATCTTTAGGGACTTTTGGTCACCAGTATTTCCTGAGTCTCTGCAGGAGGCTAGCAGGTATTTATTGGTCTTCTTTAAGGGGTCTTTCAGTCAGAGGCCTGGGAGCCAGGATTTATTGCTGCCTTCTCAGAGAGGGTTCTGAAAATGGAAGTTAAAACCCAGGAGCACACTTTTATTTATTGATTTTTTTATTGTTTTGTGTGTTGGGCCATTGTCCCGGCCTTGCCAGCCAGCCAGCCACCCGCCCAGATTATTAGGAAAGAGAGGGAATAGGGTCGACCTACTATGTGACCTCTAACCACAAGCATTTGGCGGGGGGGTGGGGGGGCTTCCTGGAGGTCCTCCAGGAAGGCCCCCCAGCAATATCTGAGTCTGGAGAAAGGGGGGCCAGAGCGTGAGGCTTCCTTGCTTCCAGTACCTCCCCTCTAAGCACTATCCCTACACAAAAAGCTCCAGCGAGAAGGAACCAGACTCTTTTCCCCACAGCCCTATCTCCAGGCCTCGCCAATTAACTGGCACAATCAGTGTGAAATAAATAACATCAGGCCACCGGGCAGTCAAACCCAGGCTCCCTCCTTGTGCCAAAGATAGCCCACCTCGGAGGCCTTGGGCTTGGCATTGAGCAACTCTGTGGTCTGAGGCCAGTCTCCTAACCCACATGGCTGCAAACGCAGCCACCAAACAATGGCCACCTTAGCTCCTGCCCCCAGGGGCTGGCTGGAGAACAGGAGATGGTCCATGCAAGTATGGGACCTTGAGCTCGCCAAGCTGTGCCATGGCTTCCTGGGACCAGCCCGTGGGCACCAGGGTTCCCATCTCTGAGGTTTGGGGAAAAGCTCATTGGCCGTCACACGCCCATGAGTAAGTGGTGCCCCACAGGCAGCTGAAACCACTGTGTACTTCCCCTCCATCGTGAATCCAGGAGCACACTTTTAAATTGTGTTGTTCAATATAAGACATTTCCCGTTGGGGACTCCATTTCCTCATCTGCCCACTGTCTTCATGCCATCTATGTGTTCAGAAATGGAGTCAGAGCTAATTATCACTAAACAAATAAAAACTAAGACCACATGATAAGGTGGGGTACGGTGGCACTCTCTTTTTAGGTGCTTCTGAAAGGAGGAAAGGAGAGAATACCCATAGGGCTTCATGGTCTGTTCTACCAGGTGCTTCACAGATGTGTTCTGTTCCATGCTGATGATCTCTGTAACTATGGTGGGACTTGTTTTTCTATTCCAGGTTCCGAGGTGCACCAATTATACCTGTGGCGGCCAAGCCTGGGGGACCAGAGGCCCCCGAAACAGAAGCTCCACAGGGCATCTCAGAGCTCATTGAGGTATTGTCAGCTTGAATCAGGTTGGTCTCTGTCCCCAGTTCTGCCCAGGCAGGTTCCTTTGTGTCCTGCTCAGCCTGAGAGAGACAGAGAAGTATCACCCTCCGCCCCCGTCTCCTGTCCCCCAAAAGGATTCTGGGGTGGTTCCTTTAAACTCCCCCCCCCACCCCAAAAGCTTAATGCAACCTCCCTCAGAAAGTTAATCCCAAACAGAACTGAGGGCCTCCACCCTTCTAAGCCTTTCTTTTTCCTTTCTCTTGTCAAATACCTCCACTCAGACAAAGCAGATCCTCTCAGTCTGGAACTCTGGGGCTATGCCATCTGTTCCAGTCCTTCAGATTGTACCAGGTCCTCCACTATGTCTAACCTGGACTAGTGGGCTGGGGGCCAGTGAGCCAGGGAGAAGGAGATGGGCCCAGCAGCAGGGACAGTACAGCTTAGGTCCTGTGGCCTCTACCAAAACACTGGAGGCTTTATCTTCTGAAGCCCAGGGCCCAAGGCTCAGGCTGTTCCTCCAGGCTGGGTAGTAGTAGACAGAGGGAAGGAGCATAGCCATTCACAGGGTGGCCAGGGCAGTCAGCAGGCAGGGTGGAGGGGGAGAGGGAGGGTATGGTGATGCTTCTATGGAAATGACAATGAGACTAGGGACTGTAGTGTCCCTTTGCTGGGCACTTGGGGCAGCTCAGAGGGTCACAGTGCTGGCCCCACCACCTGCTCTCTCTGTGACCTTAGGCCCATGACCTGCTCTCTCTTGCCTCAGTTCCCTCACTTAATAAAGTAGAGGAGAATATAGCACCACTTCCCTTGTGGAGTTGCTGTGAAGGTTAAACGAGTTAATGTGTATAATGTGCTCAGAACCGTGCTATATCAGTTTACTGTGATGGTGAGATATGATTATCACATACCAAACACTGTACTAAGATCTCTACATGCAAGCTCATTAACATTCACAGTGACCCTGGGAGGCTTAAATTATCCCCATATTACCTCAGAGAGGTTAAGTAACTTGCCCAAGGTCTCATAGCAGGTATGTGGTGGAGCTGGGATTCAAACTCAGGTCAGTTGTGGGGTGGGATTTGGGGTCTGCCTGGGTCCACAGAGCCAAGATCAGGTGTGACTGTGTGCTACCACTGTTTCTGTGATTACACGGTGCTGATCTTGCTGAAGTAGCAAAACCAATATTTTCTGGGTAAGGCTTTTGTTACTTTTTCACCAGCTCTAGAGAGTACTGGTCTGGGAGCGTGGGACAGTTGTGTTTGTTAAAGCAAAATCCACAAAAATACTGTTTGTATATTCCTTTAAGAAGCCTCTGCATACATCTCGGGCCAAGCCTGTTTTGAAATCTCTAGTCTTTTTTCAAAAGAATTGTTATCACAGGATTAAGAGTTTAGAACATTTACTACCAAATACTTTTTGATAGGAAGTAGCAAAATAAAAGGAATAATGTGGTCTTAGTTTTTATTTGTTTAGTGGTAATTAGCTCTGACACCATCTCTGAGCACATAGATGGCATGAAGACAGTGGGCAGGTTAAGGTTGAAACTGTGGAAAGAGTCCACAGAGAAGGAAAAGCAGAACCACAAACTGAGGGACAGCACTGGCCCTTTGCAGGGGGCGCTTGGAGAAGTGGCCTTCACCCCTCCTGTCCTAACAAACTCAGGCAATAGCCTCTGGGAACAGCCCTGCTCTCCCCCAATCCTTCCGTTTCCCTTATTCACTTGTCCTTCTCTCAGGTGAGAGGCCAGCTGCTGGTGACACTTGGAAGTACTCACAGCCCTGGGAGGGGAGACAAATAAACAGATTATCACAATAGCATTTAACTGGTGATGCGGAGGAGAAATGCAGTCAGACAAAAAGGGTAGCAAAGCCTTTCCAGAGGTGTTGTTGCCCATTTGCCCTCCTAGAGAGTCAGGGTAAGGCTAAACAGGGTGGTGAACTTTGGGGCCTGCCAGTGGCTGGTGTCTGTGAAAAGGGCAAGTGGTGGGAGCCTAGGCCTCAGCAATACCTAGGCCCTAGATGATGACAAATCTTAAATTCTGCAGGCATCAGGTGGATGGAAAAGCATGTGAGGCCAGGGAGCAATGTGACCAAAGGTGTCCTGTGGCAGGCTCCCCCTGCTGCAGTGTGGGTGAGGGCCTGGGTGCCTGGCCTGTTAGGAGACTGTTGGAGTAATCCCAGTGGGAGAGCATAGATGAGGCTTCTCCAAGTGCCCTTTGCCTTTGCACCGAGGGAAGGCACGGAGAGCATGGCAGAAGTTTGGAGTGCAGTCAGGAAGTTGCCCGTTTCTGATCTGGGCTGGTCTGCCCTCCTCTGCCCTGTCCCATCCAGTCCTTTCCCGACAGAGTGTGGCACAAGCATCTCTTTTCTAGCTCCTGACGTCCCAGATTTCCATCCCAACGAGAGATCCCTCGGGACCATTCCTCATGTCTGTGGACCACTGTTTCTCCATCAAAGGCCAGGGCACTGTGATGACAGGAACCATCCTCTCAGGCTCCATCAGCCTCGGCGACAGTGTGGAGATTCCTGCCCTCAAGGTCAGTCTTACTTGTCCTTTCTTTTGCCCTCATTCTCTAGTGGCAAAGGAGAGGAATGGTCCCTTTGTCCTCAGCTGGGTCTGCTTCCTGAGACTGGCCAGCGGGCGCTGCTCTCTCCTCTATCTCCTTTCATGCCTTGCCTGGATTCTAGAACTACCACTCCCCTATTTCTTATAACAGCACCCATTTTTTGAGATCCATGATGTGCCGCAATGAGCCTCCCAAGGTTCTTCCTTTATTGCTATCCTTTATATCCGTTATAGATAATGAAACTGAGGCTCCAGAAGGTGCATTAGGCTCAGGACCATGTGGTCAGCAAGTGAGGTGCCAGGTGTAAACCTCCTTTCTGCAAGCTTTCTGTGTCAGGGTGGCAAGACAAATTAAACACCATTAGAATCTTGTGTTGCTCAGTCATACAGTCTGGAAGACATCCAGATGAGTTTCACACTCCCAGTGACCGCCGGCAGATGCCATGTCATCCCTCTGGAGACCTGTGAGAAGGATGGATAGCTCTGCATCTTCCCAGCTCCTCCACCTTCTGGGAATTTCTGGCTGGCTCTCATTTAAAAGATGTCCAGTAGCCTTGATGTTTCCCTTCTTCATTGGGCTTTTCTTATGGCTTTAGTTTAGAGGAAAAACTTTCAGCCTCCCTCACTGCCCTTTCCTTCCCTTCAGGGGGAATGAAGGTGGGAAACAAGGCTAGTTAGAACTAGAAAGACCGTACCAGGAATTCAGGGTCCAGGGCAGTTCTCTGGTTCTAGAAGAATCCAGAGTACAGGAAAGTGATGGCATGCACTTGGCCCTGTATGTACAACCAGGGACAATGCCAGCTGCTGATGTACTCACAGACCTAGGCAAATGAATTCATTTTGCATGCTAACTGAGAATTCTCCCTGGAGGGCTGTGTTAATATGGCTCACTAGCTGTATTAGGGTCCACCAGAGAAACACAACCAAAAGTATGTGTATATATCTATGTACACAGAAAGAGGGATGTATTTTAAGGAATTGGCTCCCAAAATTGTGAGGCCTGGCAACTCCAAAATCCATAGGATGAACCAGTAAGATAGAGACCCAGGGAAGAGTTGCAATTTGAGTCTGAAGGCTGGGGGAATTTCCTCTTCTTCTAGGGATATCAGTCTTTTTCTATTCAAGCCTTCACCTGATTGGATTGGGTTCACCCTCACTGTGGAAGGTCATCTACTTTACTTAGTCTAGCCAATTAAATGTTAATCTCAATACAGAAACATCCGGGATAATACTTGACCAAATATCTGGGTACACTGGCACAGCCAGGTTGACATAAAATTCATTATCATATTGGGGCAAGGAGGGCCATGATTGCAGTATCTACCCTGAGCAAGGGGAGGGCAAGGGAACACATGTGCCTTATGTTGGCCATTCCTGATCTAGGGCAGCCAGAGAGGTTATAGGAAAGGGCATTTCAGGGGTGAGGGGAATGGCCAGGGCTTTTTCAGTAAAGGAAATTTCAGGTTTAAATCTCCCTGTTCTACTCATTTTATGGTGGTGTGACTGTTGCTTCCTCCTGCAGAAGCAGGGGTGGGTAACAAGGAAGAGTTTCCTGATCAGGGAGGACCAACTAAAGAAGAGCTTTTATAGGCCTGAGGCTGGCCAGGGCTCCCTGGCATGTCAACAAGAGTTGGAGGGTGAGACCCTGTCCTTCTGAATCCTGGGGCCTTCCCTGGCACTGTGGGTCATCATTCCCTCCTCCACTGGCTGTTGTGGATCCTCTTGTGAAGACCGTTAGCCTTTGATTAAATCAAATCCATGTTGTGCAGGGACTAAAAGTATAATTCTTAAAAAATAAAGCACAAAATTATGAAAATAAACTAAACTTAATATTTAACAAAGTTAAGATTATAATAGTAACTGTGTTAATTCTTAGCAGGAACAGAGAATAAATCAAATGCTAAATTTCTTTCCATTCCTTGTGTTCCCTTAGGCATACTCCTTTGGACCACCTTAATCTAATATTCCCCTGCCCTGGGAGAAGACATTTCTGCAGCCTGGGAGGGCAGCTGGGAGTAGGAAGGAGGTGTCAGAAGATGGCTCTGTGGGAGACAGACTTTGAATTGAGAGTACCTGAGGCTCTAGAGCAGGGGTGGGGAACATCCGGCCCACGGGCCATATAATGCCCGAGAAATCATTTGGTCTGGCTCTGCCAAGGCAACCACAAGTGGGACTCAAAATTCAATAAATTTAGGAGCTTTTTTCATAGCAACATAAATTTATATTAAGTGAATTATATTAAGCGAATGATGTTATAAATATCCAAATGGCCCTTGGCAGAAAAAAGGTTCCCCATCTGTGCTCTAGAGGGAGGAAAAGGTTTGTGATGACAGGATCAGGAGCTGTAATGCTAGGACTACGGGTATGGGGGAGGGCTGAGACAGAGTTAGTCCGCCATGCTAAGTAGACAGCAATGTTTGAGTGGGGACATGTTCTGAGGTCTTCGGCTACCCTTCTTGTCCTTATAAAGATGGAACTTGCCTTTCGGGTATGTGGAAGGTGCTTGGCAAACATAAATTTAAAGCTCTCCTTGCTTTTGTGTACCTATTTTCCCACAGCCTACTTTTCAAACCTCTTGGTGTCAATGTCTGTATGATTTTCTGATTTACTAGTCAAAGAAAACAGGACTGTAGCATTGAACTTGGATATTTGGCTGAGGAGTTTTCCAAGCAAAATATGGAGGTTGCAGCCTGTTTCTCTTTTGCTGCTTATAGTAAATGTGAGAGGAAGGAAATGTTTTGAAGAAGGAACTGTTAGTAAAAAGGAACCAGCACTTGATTTGGGAGGGTCTTGGCATGTCCAGATTGCAAAGGATGCTACAGGTAGGAAATTCTCTTTGAGAAAGCTTGCTCTGGTGAAAGACCCAGGGCAAGACTGGACAGCCTTTGCTGATGAGATGAGGTGTGCGACTCAAGGATCTAATAAAAAATCTCACCAGAAGCCAGGAAGAGAGGTGGGCTTACCCTGAAAGGATCTGCAGAGAACCCTTTGGTTTAATGGCATAGGTCCCCTTGATATACATGAGAGACCCACAAGGTTTTTGAGAATGTTATTAGCAAAAACACTGCCAGCCTGGACTGAAAGGAACAGAGGCCTGAAGAAATGAAGGGAAAAAAGCAGTTGGACTTTTGGTATTCTACATGAAGGAAATGGACTTATAGAACTACTCAGCTACAAACACATGTTATCTTTCAAGAAAAGGAAGAATGATTCCAAAGGCAGAGCTGTGGATGTAAAGTTAAAGGCCAGAGAGGCAGGCCTATAAGCAGGGGCCCATGGAGTCTCTGTGGGTCCAGAGAGCAGAGGAGCAAGCACAGAGGGCTGTTTTCAGACCTGGAAACCTAATGGGATCTGCCTTGCTGGATTTCAAACTTGCTTGGGGCCAGTGACCTCCCATTTTCTTCGTATGCCTGAATTTTAAAAGCAGATAATTCGTTTTCTAGTTTCACAGGTCCACAGATGGATCATATAGTATCATCCATGCCTAATTAGGTGACTTAGATGATGAGTTTTTTGAGCTAATGATTAGGATGAGATTTTGGATTTAGAGTTAATGCTATAATGGAGCGAGAATTTAGGGATGTTGGGATGGGATAAAAGTATTATGCACATGCGATGGGTGTTAAGTTTTTGGGGATCAGAGGGTGGACTACAGTGGGCTGAGTTGTGGCCCACAAAAGATGTGTCCACTCAGAACCTAAGAATATGATCTTATTTGGAGTAAGTCTTTGCAGATGTGATTAATGTAAGGATCTTAAGATGAGATCATCTTGATTAGGGTGAGCTCTTTATCCAACGATGAGTGTCCAATGACCCAGAGATTCAAAGAGAAGATCATTGAAGTTGGAGGTCAAGACTGGACTTATGCAGCCCTAAGCCAAGGAACACCAGTGATTGCCACAGCCACCAGAAGCTAGGAGAGAGGTATGTATGGAAGGCATTCTCTCTTAGAGACTCTACATACAAGGAACCAGCCCTGTTGACACATTAATGCTGGATTTCTAGCCATCAAAAGTGCAAGAGAATAAATTTCTGTTGTTTAAGCTACCAAGTTTATGGTAATTTGTTATGGCAGCCCTAGGAAACTAATATAGATTTTGGATGGAAAGTACTGAAGTAAAAAAGTAAATAAAAAGCCTTAAGTCCTTTATCTTGGGCAGGCCCCTGAATTCCTCTGCACTTTGACTTTCTGGTGAACAATCACAACCCCAGCTCACTGTTTAGGTTTGCTGTGAGGGTGACATGAGCTGAGTTCTCATTAGCACTAAAAGGCTTCACAAGTTAGTAGTAGAGTCAGAACCTTTGCATACTGATGGCCAGCTCTGCTCATTTCTTCCTTTCCTGTGATTCCCATCCGACAGGAGAATATCTAGGCTCAGGAGGGTTAAGCAGCTAGACAGCAGAGCCAGTGTTTGAAGTTATTTGTCCAGCTCCGAAGACCAGGCTCTGTCCACTTTACCTGCTGCTCCTGTAGCCCCAAGGAGACCATAGGGCCAGTGGTATTTTATCTCCTCTGGACAAGGACCCTCCAACCTCCTGAGCAGCTTTGTAAGTGACCCAGTGTGCCCTTCGGAGGCCTCTCCCTGGTCATGGAGCTCCTGAGGTTCTGAGGTCCTGACCTCTTCTCACCCCTGCCCTCCATGAACCAAATTGGCGACTAGTGCCTGTTGTGCACTGGGGACATTGCAGGGTAGGGCTTTAAACTGGATGGCCCTCCTCCCAAACCCAGTGACATCCCTGTCAGATTTCAGTAATTGACTTGGACATATCCGACCACTTGAACTCCCTCAGAGGCAGAGCACAGCCATTCCAAATAAATGGTTGCGTTCCCCTCCTGGCCAGGGCTTTCCTGCCAGAGCTTGTCAGACCCTGGCCCCTATTTCTGCTGCCCATGTTTGTTCCCAGCTGGGGCCCATTAGCTGATTGAGGGAACAGGGGATAAAGGAGAAAAACCAGATTCCATTTAGACCT